CATATTACCCTCCCCAGACCCCACTTTGTGGGACTATACTGGGTAGTTGTTGTTGTTGTTGTAATATTAGCAAATGTGAGAGCACTTTGATAATATTAATAATGATGTCAATATGATAGTTAGAGCGAGTAATATGAAGTTAAAAGTTAAGATATTGTATGAAAAATAACTTCCGCCCATTAGTGAGGGAAGTCATTTTCCCCATTTTGATGGAAAATGTTTTTTCTTTTCCTGAAAAATTACTTCATGAAAAATGACTTCCTCGTAAAAGCCCTTTTCCCTAACAAATGACTTTTGTCGTATCAAACATGTACACCTACACAGACAATCACGAATCTAGATTCAACTTAAAACGGGAAGGAAACAGGGACATGTCAAACCTGCGATACGCCCTTGAGAACTGATCTAATATTTGGAATAGCAAACCAGTACATGTTTGGATCAATAAGTTGCCGCATCTTGGAGGACAAAAACGAAAAACAAGAACAAAAACAGCATGAGAAGGGAATTGAACCGACAAACAACAATTAAAGATCGAAAACTAATATACAAGAATTAATTGGGATAATCAAAGATATGCCACTTCGATGTAAGATAAGATCATGCCATATATAGTCTTTCAATACAACTGTTCTAACCCAATCAGAATCCTTTAGAAAAAGCACGTAGAGGGACAGACTTTAGTGCTTTACAGAGGCATATAACAATTACGAAGGCAAAACACAAGCACTAGTACTTAACACCTTTCACCTTCGGACTTATGCTACACCATGCCTCCCAGTATGATTTTGCTTTTGAAACATTGAGCATAGAGTTAAAGCCCAAGAAGTCAGCAATAAGGGGTTTCACAAAGCTGATATAAACACAATCCTTTGCAGAAATGGGAAAGAAGTTGCCTCTTATTACTTGCGTTACATTCATAACTATGACAATCTGATTCAAGGCTCATCCAAAGAATTCTAATTGGCACCAACAGGAAGTGTTAATTATCATAAGATGACAAGAGTTATAATCGGCATTCTAATTAGACCGTTCTAGAAAACCAATACAAAAACAAGTCAATATTATGGATATTGCAGCATTAAGGGTAAAGTAAACAAATGCTGACATCAGACAAGCAGCCCAATTTATTCGAATCTGATTCTAGCTTACCAGAAGTCCAGCATTTATTAAGAGGGAGATGTGTTCCTCCTTCACCTTGCCTCCCAATGACAGAAGTGAACGCTAAAGCCACCAGAAAAGAAAAGAAGTAAAAGTAAAATATTGTGTAAGCACAAAAATTGAGTTGTTCTAATCCTTTACATCATGAAAGATAAGGAACTGAACATATCAAGTACCTCCGCTTAAGGCTACACTTATATTCTATTGTCTAACAATTAAAACATAAAATAAGTAAAGACCTTACAGAGTTTCTGCTCATTTAAAGCAACAATTTTTCTTGACAAAATTGATGCAAGCTACTCTCTTCATCCATATATACCACTGAGGTTCATTTAAGGAAAGCTTTCGCAGAAAATATCTTTTCCCCTTAAGGATAGAAATCGCTCTTACAAATCAAATATTGACGCATTGGTGAGCAGCCTCGGATGGATACAGTACAATACTCCCTCAATTAACATTTTGATACTCTGCTTGATTTTCAGGTACAAGCCGCGGCGGACAAGGAGAGCTTACGGCATTTGGACGCGAAGAGCAAAGCAACACCGGACGAAGTGTGCAAGAGCTAGCGGTAGTTGATCTCGGGCGAATCAAAGCATACTTCCAGGTTTTTCCATCGGGAGTTGGTACCTCCCGACCTCCTTTTTTACTCTGTACATCCTTTTACGTTATCTATCTAAGCACCATGTGTGCGGTTTACTTTGTCGATTCCTAGCTTGCATCCTTTTGCGTACTCCGTTGTAATACGTGGGTGCACCACTGTTTTCCGTAATCGGTTGGGGATAGTGGCCGCGGCGGGAGATGGTAGAGTAAGGTCATGTCCTCGGGGGGCAGGG